AGCTGTGCCGCACTCTTTTCATTTTCAGATGCTGAACTGTGACTCTAAGACGTTCAAATCTTGGAATATTGTTTTATAATCTAGCCTTGCTATAAATGTGTCCCCGACTCTCCCTCGTCTGTCTGTTGTGCTCTTTCGTGATGTTGTTTATTCACTAATGTTCTCTAGGAAATCTCAGAGGTCTTCACAGAACAGCAGTGTTTATACTGAGATTAAATTATGCACAGGTGTAATTTAATCTATCCTGAAAGTGCTTACTAACTGGGTCACTTCTGAGGTCTTGGCTATTATCTTTGTATCAGAGCAAAGGTGGCTGAATACAAAGGATGAATGGTGCAATTTCTGCCTTTTCTAGTCATTCTTCTCATTTTCATTCCAGTTCACAAATACATGGTACGTTGTGTTGCTCTATTGTGTAAAATCTAAATGAGATAAATTGATGTCTATTGCTGTAATACAACAATAATGGCCATGAATTTATTTATTTTTAGTTTTTTTCAAAGCACCAAGATTTTGTCATATGAGGAACTTTGCATCATGGCTATGTAAACAAACTCAGCTGCAACAAATGGTCATTGTTTCGTACACACCGCATGTTAAACAACAGGACATGACTTTGCCACGTGCTTCCTGTTTGGACCGTCTTGATCTTTTGTTGTTATTTTGTTTTCCTTTGCGTATTTTTCTCCCGATGTCTTTGGTTTTGTGTTAGATTTTTCCAAGTCTTAGCCTCTCCATTTTTCCCACTTTTTTTCTTCCTTTTTGCAAAGAGAAATTACCATTTTTAAATGGAATCATCTGTAGCTGATTTAGTTCTTTGGCCGTAAGGGTCTCACACGCTTTTCGGTTGTACACGTCTTAGGCCAGAAGGGGGCAGCACCTGAAGTACATCACTGAGGAGCTCCAGGTAGAGCATTTAAACTGAACAGACCCATATTCCAGGATATGATATCGAAATATGTTTTGGTCAAGTGTTTTGTTTAGCTAACAAAACACTCAAAAATAAAAGCTGTGGCTCTGCTGATACATCCGTTCATATTTCAACTTGTAATTAAGTGGGAATTTATAAGATTCATCTTTCGAGAGATAAGAAAATATCTTTCTTTGTGGGCCTGTCAACTCCAGAATAATAATAAAAAATTAAAAAATTAAAAAACGATGAGCCTGGAGAACAACAAAAAATGTAATGTGGTGTGTGAGAGAGCAGTGATGATAGGAGGAGAACTGCAGCAGAAAAACAGCAAAGTCTGCAATCATTAATATGCAAATATGCAAATGAGGGGGTAATTAAGATTGGGCGTTTGTCAGTGGCTCTTTGATTGCTAATGAATTCCAATCTGCAAGAAAGGGGGAGGGGAGCAGAAAACGAGGGAAAGGAACAGAACGGCATTGTGCTTGCCTCCTTTTTCTATAAAGGCACAAAAAGATGCCAGTGACCAATACAATGCCGTGACCATAAAAGATTATTGATTTACGTCAAATCGTTGCGAAGGTGGGACGATGAAAACAAAACTAACCATTAAGCGAGTCTCCCAAAATTCGGCACTGGCATCAGCAAACAGTTCGACACATGAGGCTGAGTTTGCACTCTTGACAATTAACCATGCACATTATCACCAAGCATTCAGCATGGCGGGCTAGAGCCACTGCAGGAAGTCGGTGAGATTTCTGCTCATTAAGAGTGATGTGTCTGACCCCCTGTTGTGAGAGATGCTCAGGTATCATGGAGGGGGATGTGCAGCGGCGGCATGTTGTTTTATGGTGTAGTGTTTGTGTTTTTTTTGTTTTTTTTTGTTTAAACATTTCTTGGCAAACGGGGACCAATAGCTCACACAAAAGCACACACTGCTGTTTTTGCTGTGGAAATGGTCCCTTGACACATGTACATCCTCGTCTTTGGCACAATATGTACGAAGGCATGAAATAAGGACAAATTAAATGCAGTGGGGCGAAGCAGCGACTCCTTTCACAGCCTTGCTCAGTGACTTCTTTACAATTGCGTTAGTCAAGTATTTGTCATGTTATTCCATAAACTTCAATGCTGAAATTCAGATTTCTGTGACCAACACAAAGTCGTTTTCTTCAAATAAAAATCTAAAAACCATTGTGTGCATTTCTATTCACCACCCTCCAGAATTGATACTTCACAGAACCACCTTTTTCTTTTTTTGCTAGAGTTACAGATTATTTTGTGGAAGTGGGTAGAACTAAACCCATTCAATAACTTTTTTTTTCAGCTTTTCTGTCCACTCTCTCATCAACTCTCTCTAGCTTCCCTTCATCCTGTGGGAAAGCATCCTTGCAGCATAATTCTGCCACCACCGTGTCTCACTCTGCGGATGTTGTGGTCAGGGTTTAAGTGTGGTGTTAGTTTGCCTCACAAGTGTTTAATATCTACTTTTAGAACCCAACACTGATTTACAGATCTAGACGTCTTTTTCTCTGACCTAACTGGTCCTAAGTCTTTGTGTTGCTGTTTGCTCTCTGATGTTCTCGAGCAACATTCAGAGGCCTTCACAGAAGGTGCTGAGTGATACTGAGAATAAGGTGGGATCTATTTACTACTTAGATGACTTGTGAAAGCACTTGGTTGCATCAGATTTTATTTAAGGGTATCAGGAAAGAACACACCAAACTTCATTGTGATTTTCAGTTTGAAAAACACTGAAAACCAAGTACGCACTACTTTTGGTTAATCCGTGACGTGCAATCCCGATAAAAATAATTGAGGGTTAATAATGTGACAAAATGTGCAAAAGTTCCAGGGGTGTAAATAATGTTGCAAGAGACACTGTGTATTTTCCTCAAATGTTGACTGCTAAACATTTCTGTCTTAGGCTTGCAACAAATACAAGATCAAGTCTTCTGTGGAGCGAAAAAGAAGACAAACAACAACACAATTACAATCCAGCACATACTTGAGCCAGAACTGAAAGTGGAAGCTCTCCAACTAATTTACTCTGTTTGCAGCGGATTGCTTAAAGCTGATCCCAGCTCTGCTCTGTTTGCTTTTTTGACAGGTTGCGGGGTGTGAAGTGTGTTTGAGAACGACAGCTAGGAGGGGGGCTGTGTTTTTTTTTTCTTCTTTTTTTTTACAGGAAACAGGAAACCAGAAGTCATAACAGGATGCCCCAGGTTTTGATACTGTACCTGATGCGTGGGTGGCTTGCAATGGGGGTAACCCATTTACAAAACCTTTCAGAGCTGATGCTTAAAAGAGGAGAGAGCCCAGGAAAGAGTGGGTGGAGAGGAGGGTGCATAGGTTTGGGGTTAGGAAAATGGAGTTCCACTCTAAATATAGACTTCATTTCTGTCTTGCACTCTGACATAGAACCTCGACGTTACGATGCCTCAGTCTTGTTGTCCTACTTTCAAAAAAAGTAACAAAGCAAACGATCTTTGATGTTCCGTGGAACGTGGTGATATGATCGCTTCCATGTGAACGTGTGCGCCACCTTTCCCCAGGTGTACTGTTGGAGCGTCACACTGAATTTGTGACATAAAACCCTTTTTGTCATAATGAGGTTGATGTGCTGAAGTAGACTTGAACGCTCTTCACCCTGTTGCAAAACCCCCAAGCTGTGCAGCACTCTTGCATCCTTTTGTCAATGAAGCTGCTCTACGACTCTAAGTGCAGCATTTTAGAAAAATAATTATGTTAATATTTTTGATATTTGCAGAGGCAAATCAGAACAATTCTTAGAATTAAAAAAATTCTTAGAATTAAAAGAAATAAAACAACAAAAACAGTGTGTATATTAGAAGTTTAATGAAAGCTTGACCATGTTGTGAGATTATAACAAGACCTGCTCAGTTAATCACATACAGGTGTGTGTGCCAGAGCTGCATTTGTGCAGTGCATGCCTCATAAATGTTCGTGTGCATGTTTGCAGACCACAAAGTGGATGGCTGGCTTTTCTCGTAAAGGCCGGCACAGATGTCACTTAGGTTGTTTTTTTTCCCCCCCCCTAAAGCAGTTGAGGTTTTCTTTAGAACATGTGTCTGCATCCTGCAACCTTGTTTTCATAATGACAAAAATAGATTTCTTGATATACAACAACACCAGCATGGCCGTTTATGTAGGTTACTGTGGGCGATGCTATACATTTTCCAGCCTTTCTCGCATGATTTCTTTGGATCCTTTGCAAAAGTTATGCTTTGGCTTTCAGAAGACATGTTAGGACATGAACATGCAAGAAATGGCATGAGGTCACAGGTACTACAAACATAAACAGTACTTATAAGCTCAATGTAAATTATATTTTTTAATTTGAGTACAATGCCTGCCAGACATTGCAGTTTTAAAATGTTTTAATTTGTAAAAAAATAAATAAATAAATAAATTGCTTACTTTTCCTGTGAGCTGACATGAGATCACAGATTCAACACGGTATATTGAGGACTTGCAAACAGGACACAGACAAAGCAGATACAAAGAAAATAGCAAAAGTATTCACCTCCTTTAGGTTTTTTTATTCACATTTTGTCATCTCACAGCTACAACTTGTTTAGGGAAATCAGAGTAAAGGGGGCTGAAGACAAATGCACGGCCACAACTCGTGCTGGTTTGACATATTAGGCGTGTGGTTGCAAGGTACTAAAATGTGAAAACAAAACAAAACAAAAAAAAAACTTAAGTGGGAGTAAATACTTCTTCAAAGCAGTGTAGCTATTATAAGTCATCTTGTGACTTACAAACTCTAGGAATAAATTCAACCAAGAGGGTGTTTTAAATAAAACTTTTTAATTATGTTATCCAGTGACATGCCAGAGCACCAACCCTCGTGTCTTGTCTAAGTGTTATGATTTTTTTTTACTTCGTAGCAAAGCCTGCAAGAACACTAGAACGCTACAAAACCCTTTGGCAAATTGACACCGCACTTGAGAGTGACGCTGGAATATATTTGGACGTCCTGCACGTCAATCAAAATTTCGCGGCATCCTATTGGTCCTCCCTCACGATATTATCGTTCCATCTTGCGGTCGCGTACTCTGTTGTCCTCATCCGCGAGTTGACGTAGATCCCCTAAATTTGTGGCTGGGCCATTTTGTGTCTCGCTCACGATTTTAGAGCCTTGACATTTTACGGCGCGTCTGTTAAACGCTGCGCATAAACGTAAACTGTCAAAAGCCGCCTGATTTGGATTCTTCTCCTTATTTGAAACCTGACACCGCTGATGTTTCAGCGCCCATGTCCTCCCGTAGGTTGTGCGCTGCGGAGTGATATTCCATTGGAACCGACAATGTGGAGGCTGTGAAAATGTCTACTTGGGAAAAGAAATGATTGCAGTTTCTCCAAGTGAAAGGAAACAGAGTACCGCAAGAGTTATGGTCCGCGTTAAAGACGCGAGGTCGGCTTCATAGCGAAGACAAACAACGAGGCGAGACAACAAAGGAGCGTTTTATATTGTCTTTCCTGCGCTTCATCAAGCCCACGGACCGGGACCACAGGAGAAGGATTCTATCCCTAACTTTGTTTTTCCTCTCTTATATATTGCCGTATCACTACTCGCTGCTGGATGCTACACTGCTGACTCCAGGTAAATGTGAACGTATTCAAAACAAGCTCATTCATGCGAAGCTGGAGTTGTATTGTTACGTTGATTTCTGGGTAATAACTAAGTTTTAAGCGCAGCGATTAAGTTGTTGGAGGGCTACAGCCGGGGAAAAGAAAAGCGGGGTGTTGGATTTTCCTCCCTTCTTTCGGTCTCACCGAGGTCCACTGTGTGGTTACACAGCATTTAGCAGTCCTGGGTGTGATGGAAAACACTTCTTTGTTCATTTCTGTAAGCTATAATGTTATTAGCATATTACCGGAGTGAGTTAGCTCCCCTGGGGTCTCGGCACTTATATGTGGGTTTGCGTTTGATCGCAAGCCGTTGACTTCTTTTTATATCACTCATGTTGCGTTTATGACCAACGCGAGCCTGTTTTACGTTCAGTTACGTTTAATATTCAATTGTGCCCAAAATCGCTGTTAAATAAGCGCATAGTGTAAAAATAACAGCAGAAAATAACTTGGGTATTTTCCCCTTCTCTTCCACCCAGCCTTCTACCGTTATAACCGTCGCTTGCAGCTCTTAATGCAGTACTTTGTAATTCCCACACACTTGTAAACTAGCTACAGTAAAATATAATTGTAATAATAAAAAGTGAAGTGGTTTATTACAATCGATTAATATTCATTAAACTTTTTGTGGACTCAGTCTTTGTGCTCATCTCGATGTGAGAGGGCAGGCAACAGGTTTTTTTTTTTTTTTTTTCCCCTCAGATCCTTTTAAACGTCCCGCAGCATTTCCAGGCCCGTAGGTGAAGACATTTAAACTCCGGTGAACACTGAACAGCCTGGATCCGTGTTTTCTGACGCCAGCCAGGAGCTCTTGTTTTCTGCAGCTATTTCTGCCATGTAACTTTCCCCCAAACGCCGCTGGCCAAAAGGTGGGGGTGCTCAAGACAAGCGTAATGCAACTTCCATTTGTTAGGAGGGGCTAAGCACTTATCCCCCATTTTGACCTCGGCTTGCTGAGAGACAGAAATTGCTAGATTATGTGCTGTCAGCGTATTGTTCTTTGGTCGCATTCCGCGCATGCACCCCTATTTACAGCCTCTTGGTCGTTACACCGCTGCAGTGTTTATTCATTTTAGACATGCTAATGCAGAGAAAGCAGAGCAGTTACTATACAATGATGACGTTAAGTAGAAGAAAGGGCGAGTGCATAAAATCTCACCCTTTCTCCACAACTTATTAATATTCATCACATCACTTCTTGTTTATCTCCTCCCAAATCCCTCTCTATAATTTGCAACATAAATTGGTTTGTAACCCCAATGACATGCCAAGAGACACAAGTATTTACATACATAATAAGAGCAAGAAATATAGATATTTTGTGTTGTTTTTTTGTTGGCTGTAAATGTATCACTGCAAATGGCCAGAAAAAGTCGTTCAATATCAGATAGGCCACTTCATTACAATAGTTGTATTTGGCACTGTAACCACTCTGCTACCCGTTAGACAATTACTGAATTAAATAATATTGAAGAGCTCATCGAATCAATAGTGGCAAAATAGTTCATAGATCAAAAATAACAATCCTTACTGTGATATATATATATATATATATATGGTTGTCACACTGAGCCTGATTTAGATGCCACTCAAGCAAAGCCTTGAACTCTGATATATATTTCTCTTTTGGGGGGGGAGAGAGGAGGTCAGTAACTAAATACTGACCACCTCCTAATTTAAAGAATCTCCATTCGGTGTGGGATAATCCTGTCCAGATTTTAAAAGTCTTGATTTTGTACACATTTTTTGGAACAGCCAAAAAGCAATAAAAGAGGAGGAAAACTTCTGCATCATGTCATTTCATGATTTCTGAAGCATGCAGCTCCCTAAACCTCACTAGTTAAATATTTTGTTATTTGTTCACAATTGTCCCGGATATTGTTAAACAAAACTGATTGATAAATAATAATAATAATCATTATAATAAATTCATTTGGGGACAGAATGGAGGTTTGTAGGAAGCCTATATGCTGTTCCCTTGTGATTATTTTATTTTAAAACGCAGCTCGTCGGCAAGGCCATAAAAATAAATGAGTTATTCAGGTGGTATTTTTGGAGTCACATCAGTTACGTCTGGAAAGCACAGGAAGTTTAATAGGTCACAAATCTCTAACCATAATGCGATGATTGTTGTAGCATTCTGCTTTTTCTCTTCCACTCTTTTAGCTAGACAGCTTACAATGAAAGAGTTGCGCCTAACAATCTAAAAGAGAACTTAACTAGGACACTTCATTACATTATTGATTTTTTTTTTTTACATAATGTACATGTACAAATGTACAAATTTTGTAATATATTTCAGGAAAAGCCACTGAACCAAAGCGATCATGTTTCTCAAATGGTCAAAAGCTCCAATGCAACAATAAACTCAAAACTCTTCATTAGTTAAAACAATTAAGTTCATATTTAATAACTGGTTATGACCTAAGAGAACATCAAAACCCTCTTCTTCTTTTTTTCAAACCAAATCCATAATTGTAGTTTTAAAAGACGTCTTTTTTTCTTTTAGTCACATGGAACATTTGTGTTGATGTTGGCTGGCCATAAATTGCCACTTTAGGATTCCAGCATGCTGTGTTATCACTCTGTAGACTTCAGTGCACAGAGATGCTAAAAACACAGTTGGGTTTTGATGTGGAGTCAGCACCCAAGTCCAGGGGCTGACTAAAAACCAAATGCAGCGTGGCCTGTGGCTGAACCATGGTTTGATGTGGGCTACTTTTAGAACTGCTTTTACTTTTCTCACTACCTGATCAGAACTCTGACTAAATTGTCGGATGTGAGGGTATAAAGATAGTTCAGTTTAAAGCGGGGATGCAGATATTGGTTAGTTGATTAGTCCGGTATTTGATTGTTTTAGTCCTGAAATAATCAGATAAGATATTTATGATTTCTTATGAAAACAAAACGCCCTTAAACAAACTATGCACAGTGTCCTTTTGTACGTTTAATATGAATATATGTTTTTTTTTTATTATTAAACAGACATAAAGCTAAGATCATTCAAGTAAATAAATTCATATGTTTTTTCTGCCACAAAAAAAATAATTAATTTTTTTGAAATAATTCAAAGATTTATTTGATTTATAAATCTTTGATTTATAAATCAAAGATTTATAAATTTAGTGACTAAAACCAAATCTTATTAACATACATAAATTATTCTGATGGACGAAAGGCCGTGTGAAGCAATACAAACTTTATCCACTCATTTATTAATCATCTTCAGAGGGATTGACTTGTGAGAACTTATTTTTTGTATCTTTTTTTTAACCACAATTAAAAGCTTTCTCATTCATTAAGTAGTTGTGTTTTTTTTTCTTCCTTAATGTATTTGTGTAAAAGTCAGTTAGCGTAGCAGACCAACTCACATATGGAAATAGCTGTATAAATGGAATTGCTTGTGCGTCAGTTCTTATTTTCTGAGCAGAGACATGGCAACGATTAATCTGTCTTTACTGACATTGTTGTTGTTTGGGGCTGGCCTCACACGTTTGTTTTTAGCCGAGTTTGAAACCAGTTGCTTTAAATGAACTGAATGATTTCTTTTTTTTTTTTTTTTGGCGATCCACCTTTAGCATTTCCAGCTGCGCGGCACAGGGAGAATTCGATCCTCTTTGGGAATTAGTGATAGCAAATAATCGGGCGTTGTTCATCTTTCTTCTAACGAAGCTCGATTTTAACATTCCATGTAAAGATTAAACGACATTTGCTGTTGTCAGCATGGCTGATGTTTTGAAGGAGGAATGCAGCGTTTACACAGCTCTCTACACTAAAATACACAGTGCAGAAAACGGTAATCTTAATCAATGCATTTAATGTAATCAGTATCGAGTTACTGACGCAAAATGACGTCGTGTTGTTTGTGCTTGTCCTTGTAGTCTGTAGCTGAGACTGTAAAGGCCCAGTGAACAGCATCAGAGAATGGCTACAGTGGAAAACGACAAGGAGCTGAGCGACTTGCTGGATTTTAGTGCGGTAAGGCCCCTGCTAAGCCTCATTGTTGCCTTCGTAATCCATTTCATTTTAACAATAAGCACCAAACCTGGTGACGAGTACCTCGAAATGGGAATGAATGAGATTCATTCTCAATGAGGAAGAAATGTGTTTAAGCAGCCATGCTTTTTTTTTTTTTTTATATATATAAAGCTCTGTTTGTCTTGGCTCAACTTATTTATTTATTGTTTTGTCACAAATCATAGCTGAAAGACTCGGGTTGCCCTGTGTTTATTGCAGTTGTTCGCAAAAGCACGTAGGACAGTTTGGATTACGCTCTGATCAACGTTTGCATAAACGTCGAGGGAACATTCAAATGTTTTATTGCCTTGCCGTGGTTTTTACAGATTTATTGCTCTCCTTTCAGATGTTTGAACCTCCAGTTTCGAATGGAAAGAATGGGCCGACTACTCTCGCCAGCAGCCAGTTTGGAGGTCCCGGTAAGAGATAATACACAAAAGAGACGGTTTGTTTGCCTTTCCTTCACCTGTAGTCAGTGGCCGTATTGCTTGGTAATGCTTCTGTGACTTTCTAAAAATAAATCTATTAGAGCCCATCTCCAGTCTCACTACCTCATTTTTACTCTCTTGCTTTCTTTCCAGTTGTAATAGAATAATACATGGTTCCCGTTTCCTTGTTTTAGTTTTCATAAATTGAGAATTCATCATCAGATGCACAAATCCAACCCTCATATTAGCGTTTAAAGCATGCATGCAACGTCAATGTTGTCAAATAATAACCAGGACACTCCAAAAATCGGATGGTGGTGCTTTTGTATGTCTGCTGGAGTTTTATATGCCGACCCCAGGCGCCGTTTCCCTGCTCTACCAGACCCAATAGTCGCAGACAAAACAAAGTTCTCTGCTACCATTGTGTTTTTTGGAGGTGCATTAAGTCTTTCAACAAGCATCAGAGAGCAACGCGATATTCAAGGGGAAGATCAAAGACGACACGTTCGGTTGCTGGGTGGGGTTATCAGGGGCTCTGTTTCATCTACTCACAAGAAAGCCACTTGTGTTGTTCTTCTGTAAGGATCGGGCGCGCTCTTACAAACGAGGCATGTAGATGTTATCAATCCTAACGGCTTCTCATGAGGCACCTACGGCCCACAGGAACCGTACCAGGGCTCTTTGAGCTATTCGAACAGGTCGCTCCTCATTTCTGCATCTGAAATGCCTGAACTGAGCTTAGCAGGTATTCCTAAGACTCTTGTTCAAGAGTTTGAACAACTTGTTTATTTTTAGTGCTTACCTCAGAGTTGGACCTTTTGCAGCAATGAAATAAGTAAATGCACCCAACAAAAGAAAATTATGAAGCGACTTTTAGCTACTTAGCTCAAATTAGGGAGTTGTTTTAGCAGAGGATATAAGAGGCTCAGCGGAAATCCAGACACCCTAGGCACACACCCCTGGCATTGAAATGAGCTGTGCTGTTTGATGTCTAATATCAAAGCTCCAAACTCTTGATTCCTGATGAGTAATTATGTAACAGTCATTAGTCTTACACACATACTGAGTTAAGCGTGGGCTGGTTACTGCTGCCAAGGTATGCCAAGGATTTTTTTTTTTAAGTTACCCTTTCAAAACCACAAACATTTGAGAAAAGTAAAGTAATTTTTAACATGAAAGTTTAAAAAAATAAAATCTAAATTAAAAACAGATTCATTAATTTTTCTAAACTGATTCTACATTGTTTTATTATTTATTATGAGATGAATGTCTAATTTCCTTCTTGATTGGAAAAAAGTTGGATATGGGCCAGAGTTATGAATATTTTGGGGCTTTACTGTGTGGTGATGCCATGAAACTGTCCTACGTGAGGTCATCATCATTCCTCATTAGTCTCATACCTGCCCACATGGCACCATGAGAGACACCTGATGGGTTTAAAAGTTTCCATATGGCTCTAAAGTAGTCATTTACATGTTTTTTCCCCCCTCACAATTCATATGGTTTAAATGTGAAACTTTACCATGTGTTTTTGTGCTCTTGTTCTGAGCTGTCAGTGATTATCATATCTGTTCAATCCAGTCCACTGTTTTTCTTTTTCTTTTTTTTTTTTGCGTGTGCTTTCATTTTTTTAGTTCACAAGAAACCGAGACTCCTAACGTGTATTTTTAGGGTGGTATGGGTAGAAATTCTGACTGGCTTGTGATATAAATTTGCATGAAAAGGTTCCTTGTTTCAAGCAGATGTGAAACTGAATTTGAAAAACTCAGGTGGGAAAGTTACATGAAGGTCTGTTGTGTAAAGTCTGACGATCCACTGCTTATTATTGTAAAAATTGTAAAAAAAAAAAAAAAAAAAGATCCAAACTATCGCTGGAGAACAGTCGAATGTAAGCTGCGTGCGTTTAAAGGATAGTATGTCACATTGTCCTGCACTTAGGAAGTCTCCTGTGACTAACAGGTTTAAAGAGTCAGCCCTGTGTCATTGTACATTGTTCATTATTTCATTAACAGTGTTTTCTCTCTTGAGATCGTATCTGACATCACGCTTTGTGTCTGCGTGACTCACTTTTCCAGGGAAAAGAAGAAGTCGCGCAGACAAACGGACCGCTCGGTTGTAGTTGGCCTGGGGCAGCGTTCCAGTAAAAACCAAGACATGCCTGCATGTTTGGTCAATATATCTGCCTGCGTTTCGCTCACAAAGTCGGTGACTCAGGCTGTCTGTCTGTTTCCGATAGCTCTGTCTGTGCTGTGTAATTATAGACCAGCCAACCTTAAAGGGGTGTTGCATGCTGGGAGGAAAAGTGCATTGGGGTTCTCGGGAGAATTTTTCTGTTACTCATCCTCTTATTCCTTTTCCTGCTTATAGATATTGTAGCCTGTCTGAGCTGATATTTGTGATTTTGGCATGGCGTTCTGTAGGACTAATGAAACTTAGTATGTTCGAAATCAATATTAGTGTCATGCTTCACTAGCAATCAGCAGTATGGTCTGCTGTAGCTGCTGTAGGAATCAATATTCACTCATTAAACTAAATGAATTGAAGCATTGTAAGAAATCTTGATGTGGAAAGATTTGGTGAAAAGTGTAGGAACATTTTTTAGGTTCAGCAGACTGAGATTCATTCAGCAGTATGCACAGCGCAAGTGTAACTGCAAAGAAGCCAAGAGTAGCTGCAGTTTTTGGACGAAACCTTGGACTATAATCTGATTTGTTCAAATAAAAATTGTAGCTGTGACTGACTCTAGGGTTTTATAATGAGTCCAGTGGCTCATCGTGATAATGTAGATCAACATGTTCCTGACTAAATGTCTCATTGTCTGTGATTTGAATTAAACACGCTTTAAAAAAACATGCAGTTTTTAATGTCCACTATCCTAATCGGCAGCAAAATGTTCTGCCATTATTGTTGGATTATTTTAGTCTCTTTTTTTTCAAATTGTCCCTGTAGTGTTAAGTAATTTTACTATCTGAATTGTTATTTCACAGTTACACCCTCCTTTAAATGTCTCTGAGTGAAACCATTCACAAGTATGAGCAGATGTAAACACACTTCTTTACGATTTTAACAAGTGTTTTTGTTGTTAATCTAACCCGCCTAATGCTGAGTAGTTAAAATTTCCATACTGAAATTGGGGTTATTGTAGAATTATGACACAAGTCTACTTGCTAAAGAAGTTTTTATTTTTTTAATAAACTTTGCTCTCAAACAATCAAAAAGCGCTATCCACTTGGTTCATCTTGATGTATTATGGTAAATAGCGTCAGATTGTATTTTATTGAGTCAAAAACTAGGATTAGAGTAAATCTTGGTTGGCGAATGAATTGAATTGTATCTAACTGTTGCTTGTTGTTGATGGATCTTGGGTTGTTGGGGATGCACAAAGTATCGGCATCGACATCGGTATCGGCCGATGTTGATGCCGACAGTAGAACGCCCGATGAGTAGAACGATATTTACTTCCATCTGGTTGCTGTTTATGTGTTTAACTCAAGCAGAGAAAGTTTCAAATCTAAAACATATCAGAAGTTGTTGGTGTTTTTTTTATTTTTTTATTTTTTTGATTGAAGGTGCTTGCTGATGACAACACGCTAAAATGTCTAACGTGTAAGTTTTGCTTTGATTGACAGGCAGAGCGGCAGTCAGACATGGAGAGGGGACGTGAAATTGCCTCCTTCATCTCTTATTCCGCTGGTGTCGTGTAGCTCACACTTGTCACTGCAATCTAGCTGCTTTTGGCACTATGGAGCCATTATTCTGTTCTACTGCTGATCCTGTCAGGATTCTCGCACCCCCCTTCCCCCCTTAGCTTTTTAATTAGACAACAAAACAAAAATATGAATATTCATAGGGCTCAGCCTCATTAATATGCACAATTATGCAAATACGAGTGCAATTAAACTTCAGATTTCCCCAAGAGATGCTGTGTTGCAGTACGAGAGGAGATTTGAGAGCGAGGGGATTGGGCAGAGATTTCTGCTCCACAAATCTTTAACATCCCTTCCTTAAAGCTGCTCCGGCCCGCGATGGCACATGCCAGCCGTGTGAGTTTGGACGGTGAGCCTCGCGCTAAGGTGAAGGTGTGGGCCTAAGCGTGTGGGAACAAATGGGCTATGAATGAGTGTTGCCATGGAAAAAGCGTAAAGGAGTGGAGTGTGGGAGACCGAGGAATGTCGAGGATGATTCTGGAAGCCTCGTACTGGGTGTTAATTATTCAAACTTCCTACAGCTCAAAATCCAGACTATGTGACAGCGCCGTCACAGTGCTGTCTCGCTCTGTGAGCTTTGAAGTTTCTCAATGTAGGTTGCATTAAGGAGCCTGAAAAACCTGTATCAAAGCAAGTCGTCACTTTTTCAAGTGACACATTTGTTGCAAGACGGGGACATAAATCTGT